GAGAGAGAGAGAGAGAGAGGGAGAGAGAGATGGGCTGTGATCTTTAAGGAAATGTGTAGTCACGACCCCGGGCCAAACGAGCCGATACGGTTTCGAAGAGTCCAGGCGAGGTTGGGCCTGAACTGTGGCCGCTGGGTCATACTTTTGCGGCAGGGGAATGGTAGAAAATTAGAAAAATTCAAGAAATTCTGGTCTCAAATGATCTCTGCTAGCCTGCCCCTTCCATTCCCAAATGATCTCTGCTAGCCTGCCCCTTCCATTCCCAAATGGTCTCTGCTAGCTGCTGAGCTCTGCTTCCGCATCAAAGATCATCCCATCAGATCGGGGGCGTAATCGATTGCAGTGTCTGTGTGCTCATTTGTGGGTTCGGTTGACGTGCACTGGAAAGTCGCCGCGAAAATCGGGGGAAAAGAGATGACTCCACCGCCAGAAAATGCACACAAATACTCCGAACCTCTCAATCTCTTTCTCTCTCTTTCTCGATGAATGGTCGAGGGGGAAATGAATGGTTGGGTGATGAAGTGGAACGAGGGCAGCGCGTAGAATTCCACCCCCGACAAATCGTGTTTGGTTTGGCAAGTTGACAAGAGCAACCTAGCAGACATTCTTTGAGAAATTCTGACAAGTGAATACAACGGTTTTACGGAATATAAAAGGAGCGTTAAGGTAGACTTACAGAATTTTTTCGTGTCTGAGAAACGCGGGGTGGGCCTGTTTGAAAGTGTCGTAATCAATTACTTGATGAAATCTTCACCCAGAATCCATAAGGGATCCATGGCCATGAAAATCTATGACGCTGCCTTGCCAGTCCCTTTAAGTCCACAGTGCCACCAAGTCCCAGAGCATTTTTGCCTTCTCGGCTCCTTTAAAGAGCCGATTTTCCAATTCACCAGCTTCCCCATGATTTCTTAAAGGATCTCTGCTAGTTGACCATTTCACAGCCCCAAAATTTCCTTTTTTTTAGTCGATTAAAGGTGTACTGCCTCCGATTCCCCCGTGCTCCAAGTACAAGAAATTTTCTGGTATCCTTGCGCAAACAATCTAACGGATTTCTGGGGCCGATTTTCAGTTTTTAGGCCTAATTATAAATCCAAAATCTTCGAAATCACACGCCCACATCAAATTTTCCCTGGGGGTATTTTTAGGCTAATTCGCATCTGAATTTGCGCCCAAAAACCGCTCAAATTCAAAATTGACCATCCGGCTACAGATCCAAATTAAACGATTGACAAGCCTGTGAAAGTGCGGCTTTATAACATCGGCTTAAGTGCAGTTTACCCCCCCCAGCCCAGCTCCTCAGCCATACGTCCTATTAATGCGCCGAGTATCTCAAAATGTTCGCCGTGGTCGAAAACCCCTGGAAAACTTGTTTACTTGCGCCAAAAATTGTTAGAAAATTTTTTACAAAATTTTGAAAGTTGAAAAGATTAAGCCGCTATGCTTCGATGTACCAGAAGTCAAAAACTCAAATATTTTTATTTTCCGCTATTTTTTTCGACTTAAACGTACCGTAGGCTTATTCTCCAGAGCAAGAGCTACATTTTGGTACCATTGACAGCTTTGTACGTCAAAAGATAGCCGAGATACGAAAACTCACTTTGGAACAGCAAAAATTAACTAAAGAAAACCCAGACTTATAATTGTTATAAAAAATTTTTTAACAATTTTTGGCGCAAGTAAACCACTTTTTCTGAGGTTTTCGACCACGGCGAACATTTTGAGATACTCGGCGCATTAATAGGACGTATGGCTGAGGAGCTGGGCTGGGGGGGGTAAACTGCACTCTTACCATAACATCATTTTCGGAAAAATTTTTGAGTGATTTTCAGAGCAAAAATCTGTGTAAATGCATATGTATTTTTAAGACATTGTTTTGAAAGAGGAAAACGGGGATCGGCGATAAAATCTATTATTTTTGGGTCTCGGGGAAGCACTGAACTGAAACACCGATTCGAATCTCGTGCTCAATCGGAACGGCCGGTGACCTTGTTGACCTTGTTGTAAGGTATTTTGGTGACTGGATCTGCTAAATTTGGGACTGTAAATAAGTGGGAAGCAGAAAAAAATCTAAAATGATTCAAAAATTTTCGTAGTTAGCAGAAGAACCTGAAAATATTTAAACTCGTATCGAAAATACCAAAAAAGCAGCAGCACCTGTAAATTTTCCGACTTAAAGGTGTCTGAACACCTCAGAATCGACCTCTTCTATCCACTAGGTCGCGGCAGCTCCAAAATACGGTTTAGGGCCAGTGGTGGCCTAAAGGCGCACTTCCGTTGCGCTTCTGCTCCTCTGCGTGAGCTTTTCGCGTATAGCGTAGTCTAACGCAATCGTCTAGAGCTAGTGGCGACAAGGGGTCGATTTCAAGAGGTCACTAAAGGGACAGTGACACTAGGGCAGGCGCAGCATGCGCGTTGCGTGACGGGTTTTTTCTTGACTTGGGTGCTCCCTGTCGAATTTCTTCGCGGCGCGCAGGCAACGCATCAGTCGTGTGGAGTGGCTCTGAATTCCCTAACATTGTCAAATTCTTTCCTTTGCACCCGAAGGGAACTTGGGTGCAGATTCACACTGATTCGGCCACTTTCCCAGGTTCTGCGAGAAGAGAGAGGCATAGAGAGAGAGAGAGAGAGAGACAGAGCGAGATATGGAGAGAGCGAGGAAAGTTTGCATTACCGTAGCCCGACCCAAAATGGCTATGATTTGTGGGCGCCAGATTCACTAATTCGACAACGTGGCGGTGCGCTTGTAGCTGGTCACTCTCAAAATTTCACACCTTTTTGGGAGCATTGGATTTTGTGGGTCAAACACTCATATCTTTCTCTTGCTCTGTCTTTCTCTCTCTCGTCCTGCACCCGCCGCGAGTTTTTGAGTAGACCATTAAAACCTGTACGTACGGATACGAATGCGAATATACATTTTAATTGGCGTTTTTGGTGTGGGTTGGAACCTGCGACTTGCAAAGTATTTTGGGGGTTTTTTTGGGGAGCACGAGCAGAAAATGATCGCACTTGGAATTGGAAAAACAGGGATAACTCAAAAATTCCAAAAAAGGTAAAATTTCGAAATTTTCCTAAAGAGCCTCTGCTAGCTTGCCTGCCTTCCGTTCGGCTAAGAATCTTTGCTAGCTTGCCCAATACCGCGGTAATTCTGGGGCATTTAAATGGAGCGCGGCACCGGCTCTCGTTCTCACTCTAACTCGCTCTCTCCCTCTCTTTCTGCCCTGAATAACCTCTGCTATCCTGCCCTCTGCGTAAATAATACAATTTCCCGAGTTGCAAGGCGTGTTTTGTCGACTTTATCAGCAAAGGATCTCTGCGAGACCTGTTGTTTACCACCCTTCTCTTTTCTTTTCCCCAAATTTGCTGATTCGCCACCCTTCCACTCACCTGTCTCCGCGTCAATACCCTGGTGAATCAGACAAATGAGGGGCTAGGGAAGGGGAAAATTAAAATGAATTTTCACAAAAATGGGAACAGCGTGACTCTCTTTTTCTCACTCTCTTTCTCTCTCTCACTCGCTTTGCCTCCCTCTCTCACTCTCTTTCTCACTCTTTCTCACTCTCGCTCACCCGCTCTTGAGCTCTCTCGCCCTCTAAAGGTGAGCAATAGCTGATTTGGTGAATTGTTCTCACAATCATCGGTTCGTGGACAAGCCTGGGGACGATAATTTTAGGTCTCAAGCAGAGAGAGAGAAAGAGAGAGAGAGAGAGAGAGAGAAAGTAAATGCCGAGCGGAAATTAGCGGCATTCGCGGAATGACGCGTCACTAAAATGGGCCGGGTCTGGGATTTGGGCAACGCGTGAAACGGATACCTGCGAAAATTTGAACTTGCTTGAACCAGTGCACTTTATTACGCACGTATTTTCAGGTTTTCGTAAAGATTCTCGCCTAGCTTTCCCGAGAAATTTCTGCTAGCCCGCCCCTTCCATTCCCAAATGATCTCTTCTAGCCTGCCCCTTCCATTCCCAAATGATCTCTGCTAGCCTGCCCCTTCCATTCCCAAATGATCTCTGCTAGCCTGCCCCTTCCATTCCCAAATGATCTCTGCTAGCCTGCCCCTTCCATTCCCAAATGATCTCTGCTAGCCTGCCCCTTCCATTCCCAAATGATCTCTGCTAGCCTACCCCTTCCATTCCCAAATGATCTCTGCTAGCCTGCCCCTTCCATTCCCAAATGATCTCTGCTAGCCTGCCCTTCCACCAATGACCGCCTCATTCCCAAATGATCGCAGCGCCCCTCCATTCCCAAAACTGCTAGCCTGCCCCTTCCATTCCCAAATGATCTCTGCTAGCCTGCCCCTTCCATTCCCAAATGATCTCTGCTAGCCTGCCCTTTTCATTCCCAAATAATCTGCTGGCTTGCCCGCCAAAAATCAGGACCAAAAGTCACTTTGGCCACTGATTGCACTTCCTAGGTTCCTGGGTAAGATTGGGTCCCTTGAGAACCACAAAAAAGGCACGATGTGATCACGCGAGGCTTCTTCCGGCTACAGTGTTCTTGGAGTGCACCCGAAAAATAGCTTATCTGGGGGAGGATTTTGTACTTTACATGTTTGTAAGTCGTAAAAATTGGACTTTGAAACCTCTAATTAGTAGAGAAAGGCTAAAAATTTGCGTTCTCGTTCTCTCTCTCTCTCTCTCTCTCTCTCGCTTCTGCCAGTTTCTGATCTGAACCCTGTTATTCTTAGTTTCATTAGTTGCGATGAGAGCTAACCCTGGGAATTGCTCGGAGATCAAAAAAACTGGGGGCTTGCACTTCTATTAAGAGGGCACAAACACGTCTACCTCTTCTTCCAGATTTTTGGGTCTGAATAACACACCACCTGCAAAGAGAGAGGATACATAGCAAGGGGCCCGGAAAAACAAAACGTAGCCCCGGGGGCCATCTACACGTCCCACGGTCTAGAAGGGGGCGGTCGGTCGGCTAATCCGTGGTTCTAGAATCTAGTCGCAATCTAGTTGGCCAGTATCCTGTTGAATTCTAAGCTATTGAGGTATTCCAAGATGCTGCTACTTTCATATCAGGTCGATCTTGAGCTTATACTACCGTAATCTTAGGCTTAGATTTAGGCTTACAAGGGAAGTGCACGACCGGCCCACGAGAAATCGACACGAGACATAGTGGATCTGATAGCATCGGACACGGGGATTCCGAATCTGTAATCAGAATTTGCTAAATAAAACGGAGAAAAAAGTTATGAAGCTTCAAAGTTGGCCAAATCGCCAAAAACGGTACCTTTAAGGGGCCGTAAAAACAGGGGGAACGGAATTGAGGAGATAATAATGAGTGCATCTTGTTCAGCAGAAAAAGCGCTTTCAAATGAGCTGTAATACGTAGCATTTGCAAACCATTCACTCAAAAAAGTTTTTTTGGATTCACGGGCAATTTCCTGTCAAGTTCATAGAAGAGATTTCCGCGAAATCATCGTAAACTTGAAGTAAGATAGCTCATTCGAAAGCGCTTTTTCTGCTGAATAAGATGCATTAATGGATTGTGGCAAATTTCCATTCCCTGGGCCTTTACAGGCCCATAAAAGTCCGATTTGGGCGATTTTACCAGCTTTGAAGCTTCATAACTTTTTTCTCCGTTTTATTTAGCCGATTCTAATTACAGATTAGGAATCCCCGTGGCCGATTCTATAAGATCCACTATGTGTCGTGTCGATTTCTCGTGGGCCGGTCGTGCACTTCCCTTGTTAGGCTTAGGGTTAGGGTTACGCTTAGGCTTATGCTTACGAATAGGCTTAGGCTTAGCTTAGACTTAGCCAAGTCTTATGCTTTGACAGGCTTGGGTTTCGCTCAGGCTTGGGCTTGGATTAGGCTTAGGCATAGGCTTTGGATTTAGGCTTAGCTTAGGCTTATGTTTAGACTTAGGTTTAGGCTTAGCTTAGACTTAGGCTGAAGTCTACCCAGATTAGCCAGTACACTAAACACCTAATTACGCAGTGAGAGCGATCTCTGATATAATCCGCCCCCAACAAAACTACCGTACCCCCAATAAGTGCAAACTCCTGCAAATTCATATAGTTTGACCGCGTATTCTAATGCCCTCCGTGCCGTCGTCAACTTCCGGTGCAAAAATAGGTGCAAAACGTCCACAAAAACGCCGGCAGATTAGCCTTTTCCGCACGGAAATTGGAAATCCGTCGTTTTTTTGCTATGAGTTCTTGCAGGATAATAGGTCGGCAGAGTGCGTCAGAATACCGTAGACGCCGTTCCCCTCTTCTTCTTGGTCATCTAATCTGCTCCTAAAAACGCTTGGGCGGCAGTGTTCTGCTGCGGAATTTTCCATTTTACTTGATCGTTTTCGGGGCTATTTGCATATTTTAGCTATACTAAAATTCAAAGAATTTAAAATCTAATTAATTATGGTGAATTTAGTTAAGCGAAAATCGTTGTCAAAAGTTCTGTAGAAAACTGAATTAATTATTAATTTGTTGAACATAATATAGGGTTAGCAACGATTAAACTTACCTTTTTTTCAGCTGCCCACACTGCCCACCCTTACCCCGGAGCAGCACGAGCTCTTCAGCAACATCATGAAGAGCCCCGAGTTCGAGACGATCAGGAGGGACATTGCGGCTAGTGGTGAGCTTTTTTAAGGACGATTCCATAGATTAGAAGGTTTCTGTGCGATAGCGCGTGCTGTACGCTTGCAAAAAGATTGCGCATAATTTGCGTTTCTTAGCCAACTAAAGGCACTTGAAAGCGCGGAAACCGCCCCTACACACGACTAAGTGTAGTCGTATTTTCACGCCAATGCCCAACGCCAAAACACCGAGAACCAACGGTGCTTGGCTGATTGTTTTGGGGGTCTCGGGTGGTAGTCGATGCCTAGTCCATCGACGGGGTCGATTCCCACGCTTCCGGGTTCCTTTAAAATCAGCAAACTAGCAGAAAAACCTGGGAAATACACTCCAAATTTACTCAACGATCTCCAATGTCCTTTTCTGGTTGCAAAATGAAGATCCTGGCAGAGAATTTTTGTGAAAACCGTGATGTTTTGAGTGTTTTTCTAGTGTCTTCTCTCGCGTTTTTCTATTTTTTTCAGCCTACAGTAAAGTAGCGTAATTGAGTGCTTGCAGTATATTCAGAAGCGCAGAAAACGTGGAATTCGCCGTGTTCTGTCGACTGGCCTCCTTTAATAAATCTACTTCGTTCTAAAGCTTCCATCGACTTTGCCTAGTTTAAGAAACATACTTCGTTCTAAGGCTTCCGTTCGCACCCAAAAAGCTTTACGTTTTTCTTTTTGACCCCGCCCGTCATAATCCGGTCGTCGATTCCGATAGATTCCGGTAGAATCCGGTGTGGCAATCCCGTAATTTATTTGCCAGTAGGGCCCTCGGGGCGGGTTCAATCCGCCCCACCGCCTTTTTTGCACGGCTTGCCATTTTGAGAGGTCCATTCGGATACAGGGAATCCCCTCCTCTTTGATCCGACCACGTTCAACGGATTTGTTCGCGAACATTTTCGAGGGATTTCCCTTGCAGCATTTCCCTTCATTCATTCATGCATTTTCAGTTTCCAGAAAACAAAATTAGGCAAAAATTGAAAAAGCTAAAATCACGAAATCCGAAACTGCTCGATGAAAATTATGCTCCGTTTTTCAACCGATAAATTGGCTTTAAAGTTTAATGACTTTGCCAAGTTTACATTAGTTTTTGGATAGGATAACACGCTTTACTCCTAGAGACAAGCTAGCAGAGATGCTTTGACACCCGGGAAAATTAGCGAAAACAAAAACTCGTCAAAAACAATGATATCTTCGTAAAATCAACTAATAAAGTTTGGTTTTTGTTTTTTTCAAGGCCTATCTTACCTTCTCATAGCGGCAGGCTAGCAGAGATTCTTTGCGCTGGGCGAACTTAGCGATAACAGAAACTGTTTTTAAACTTCGATATCTTTTGTCAAACCAAAATAAAACTAAAACCTTAACGTAGCTCCCCTTTACAGTTTTTTTGCGTTATTTGAATGCAGATCGTACGTTCTCATAGCAGCAAGGCAGCAGAGATTCTTTGAAGCGGGTGAAGAATGGCGGGTTTCTTGAGCAATGCCCGCCTTTCGAACGCTTTCTTTAACTAAAAAAAGGATATACATAGTTTTTAACTGTATATACTTTATATATAGGAGATGTATATCGTTTTTAACGAACTGTTTTTTATCTATTTTATAAATATTCCATTTCCGTATTTTCAGCCCGCCTGATGAATGGCCTAAAAGACCTGCAAACTCCATTCCCCTTGGCCACGCCGACACCGACGAAACTCTTCGGATCCCAGGGCAACGAATCCAATGAGCAGCGACAGTACGCTCAAGGTTTTTTGGGTAAGTGAAAATCGAATTTATGCATTAAATCTGGAGTCTCAAAAACGCAGAAAGTAAAAAACCGAACTTCTCATTGCTGCGTTTTTATCGAATTTCCACCGAAGTATTGCAAAAACAAATTGGATACCGTAGCCGTACTTAATCGGGTTTCACAATCCATTTGTTTAGACGCCCTCATCCACATCCAAAAACTCGACGGGTTCAAGTACGACCAAACCCTCGTCTCGCCGTCATTAGTAACGCCCGTTCTACGCGGCCAAGTCGCCGATCCGTTGATGAGTCCACTGCTGAGTCCGCACAATACTCTGTACGTTTCATGACGGCAATCGACACCAGGCGTAACGAGTAGCATTTCGTACTGAACATCGAAATTGAACATGGGCGCCCTAAAAGCAGACAAGACTACCTTTTAGTGGTATAAAGTCACATAGCGTGGCACCGAAAATTAACCGAATTCTATGCGAAAATTCCTACCAAGCTCAATTCTGGAAGGTTTCAAAGACGTGCTGCGTACCCAGGCCAAAAATGATACGAAACGATCTAAAAGTCTTTTTGAGCGAGTTTTGGGCCTGTAAGGAGGTGTAATTCGTACTCGACTTCTTAAACCCATCTGAAACGAGCCGCCGGAACAAATTTTTCAGTTGAGCTATTGTCCGAATTGTAATTCGTACTCAATAAGAAAATACGAACCTAAATAAATCTGAATCCAATTTCAGTGACCTCAACGCCGTCATCCAGGCCTTTTCCAACCCTGTCACTCCGGTTTGCTCGGCACCGCCGTCCCTGCCCTCGATTTTGAATGCCTTGGATGAGAGTCGATTGGTGCGCTTAAATCTGAATATTCTGAATAATGCCATTTTAGGGAACCTCATCTCTGCCTTCAGCTTTCTCCGCGCCGTTATCGTCTACATTCTTGCAGGTAAGTGGTGTCGCATTCTCTCTCTCTCTCTCTCTCTCTCTCTCTCTCTCTCTCTCTCTCTTTTTCTCTCTATGTCTCTCGCTCTCCCTGTCTCTCTCGTTGTCTCTCTCTCTGTCTCTCGCTCGCTCTCTCTCACGCTGTCTCTCTCTCTCATGTCTCTATCCTCCACTTTCAGGCAAGCGCCTCGACCTCCGTCTGCTCGACGGTCAGCTCCTCATCCTCCTCCGCCGCTTCAGCCTCCTCTTCCGGGGCCCTGCTCGCACCATCCGGGAGCAACAGCTTGAATCTGAGCTCTTTCCCGACAACAAGCCTCAATCTGCCCCCGCCACTGCCCTTCAACGCCTTCAAATTCTCGGCCGATCCTCTACCCACCATGCCATCCTTCCCCACACGGCTCGAGCAGCCCGAGCCGTTCAGCCAGGAGATGAAGATCGAGGTGAGTTTTCGTGATCCTGCTCTATATGCTCACTCTCGGCTCTCTCTCTCTCTCTCTCGTCTTGATGTCGTTTTTTTCAGATTCCATGCTCAAAGGGCTCGATCAGCGACGATGACATGTCTTCCCGATCCTCATCTACCGGTCCCTCGTCAGCTGGAGGTCGCATTTTACCCTCGAAGAGCGGCGACTTCGACGGGTTCGTTTTTGCGTTATATTTCGTCCAAACTAGCATGAGAATTCATAGTTATGAAGGCATAAAGGGATGGGGAAGCGGGAATCGACCCTAACCGTTCACTAGGTTCACTAGGACTTGTACTCCAAGCTCCGAAAACCAAAATTCAGCAGGCTACGCTTAGGCTTAGGCATTGGTTTAGGCTTAGGCTTAGGCATAGGCATAGGCTTGGCTTAAGCTTAGGCTTAGGCTTAGGCTTAGGTTTAGCTTAGACTTAGGCTTAGCTTAGGCTTAGGTTTAGGTTTAGCTTAGGCATACGTCTAGACCTAGTCAATGGAAGCGTCGATTCTCGCATTTTTCCGGTCCCCTTAAACTAAAACAATATTTTGCCCTCCCTGACTCACAAAGAGTGGTTAGTTCAAAAGTTTGGTGGGCGTGTCTGCTGCCCTTCTCTTTGTCGCTTCAGGTTTGCACCGGTATAAGCCCCCCTGGGTGACTCAGAATTCCTGTTATCTCGTGCCCCACTATAGCCCTTGCTAAAAAACCACACCAAAATAGGGGATTCCCGAGAAAAAATTGCAAAAAAACAGTGAATCAGCCTGGGGGGGGGGGGATTTTATTACACGCTAATTGGTGGCATTTTTTGGCCCAACGCTACCGTATCCCTGGAGAGTCTAGAGACTAGTCTACTTTGTATAGAGTCTAGACTCAAAAAATTCAAAAAGTTCACGATAGTATCTTTCGTACTGTTATAAGTATAGTATAGTATAGTACTATTATAGTACTTCAAGCGCATTTTCGAATTTTTGATAAACCAATCCTATCGCGGTACGATACCGTATCCCTAAAGTTTCCGAAAGTTTTCTGCGATGGAAAACTTGGTTCAAGTCAAATTTTCGGTGTAAAAACCGGGAATTTTGTGTCATTCTGTCCAGCGGAACAGCTACAGTATCCCAAGAAAGCACCAAGAATTCCGAGCAAATCCTATCCTCGCTAACTGCCTAATCCGTTGGCGGTCAAAATGGCCAGACGGCCGTACCCGGATATTGAGCTTTTTCCGCTCTTTAAAAACCGGTTTCCGGGTCCCGCAGCGATTAGTCAGCGTACAATTTTCTGAAAAATTCCGTTTTTGCGATTACGGTAACCATCTGGATTCGAAGTTAAAAAACGCAATTTCACAAGTTACCGTAAGCCTAAAAACTCTAAAATTCTAATTTTTGAAAGTGCGTACAAAAGAAAATTTTAGTTATTTCAGGGATACAGTACCCATAGATTACAGTAGCCGTTTCTCTCTAAAAAGTTCAAACGTAGTGACATTTCACCGTAGCGCGAAAAAATCCCATAAAAAAGTGCCCTAAAATTTTTCAAGGCGCAGTACAGCATTTTTTTGCAAGCTACAGTACCCCAATTGCCATCAAAAATTCGAATTATCCTCAACTTCCGCAGCAATTCTCCCACCAATCGCCCAAAATCCTGCAAAAAACGCATACGTATTTTGTGGCTTCTCTGCTCCCAGAATCTCATCATTCCGGCTTTCCACCGGAAACGCAGGGTCGTAATCTGTAGTGCCGCGTACTATCTCTCGCCTTATAACTCGAAAGATCTCGAAAAGGCGGAGAAAGCCCACGCTTTTCCTTATCAAGACCCACTTTGGCCGCCGAGTTCCTAATTTTGGGTTGATTATTGGGGGTGGGGGGATGAGTCAAAGTGGATTATCAATTTTTGTGGTATTACTCATGCTTCTGTTAAATATATAAGTGTTTCCATTACGGTTTAGAACTGATAAAAAGACCTTCAAAAAGCTCGCGTTTTTGATATAAGCCGCATTAGTTGAAACTTTTGATGAAAAAGCTGCCCTGGATGGCCAATATACTTGGATCGGATCAAACTTTCCCAAATTCGCACAATTTCGGAAAGCTACTTTTTTTTAATAACCCTCTCTAGGCAAGCACTGACCTTTCGAAACTGGCCAAAATTAAAATACCTTACCGTTCTTTGCCAATTTTTGCAAAACTTGGCCTTTCATCGTCGTTTTCTGATTCCAGCAGGCTACGGTATTTCTCTAACCTGTCCAGCAACTTGACCCCCCTCTCGGCCTCTTTAAAGAGCTTTACAAGGACTAACGTCTACCCACCCTTCCACTGGGTCTCGACAACTACGCAACGCGCCAATCCCCACGGCATCAGCAAAAATATTTCGCTTCAATCTCGCTTTCCTTTAAGCCATCGACGTGAAGAAGTACACTAGTTCTAGCATCCGCGTAGTTGTCTAGACCTAGTCGAGGGAAGGGAACGATTCTTGCGCTTTCCGGTGCCTTTAAATCTCCGTTTTTACGTAGCTTCACGTCGTAATTTGACGCCGAATCGATGTTTCGCACCTTTTTGAAACTTCGGACTACCATAGTTTCGATGAAAGCGCACTCCGAACTCCCGTCAATCAATTCCTTTCAACCCCCTATAACACCCTCCGAATTCCAATTCCTCCCCCAAATTTGCCCAAATTCGGGCCGAAAAGCGGAAAGCGCGGGGGGAAGGAATATATTTTGTCTTCACCCCACCACGTCCTCCTTGCCGGCGCGTTTTGCTGGGCGGACGGACGGGGCCGTGGTGGTTGGGCGATGCGTCAGCGTCTGTTCGTCCATAGGAAGGGGGGAGGGGCCTCGCTCTCTCTCTCTCTCTCTCTCTCTCTCTCTCTCTCTCTCACCCTCTTGCCCCCACTGACTCAGCCCCTCCCTTTCCCCCGATCGGCCCGTATTCCCTTCACACACCCACACCCCCTCCCCTCCCCAATCGGTACCGTGTGCCCTGCAGAGGGCACCCGATTGCATTTGGCTTTTCAGGAAATGTGGTTGCTAATTTGAATATTGTTTACTTTTTGGCTTCTTTGGGCTCTCTTTTGATCTCTCACTCTCTCGCTCTCTCTAGCTTTCCCTTGAACTTTTGCTTGGATACGGTAGGAGATACGAAACTCGCTATCTCTTTCTCTCTCTCTCTCTCTCTCTCTCTCTCTCTCACTTTTTCTCTCTCAAACTTTCTCGCTAGCGATCTCTTGCTCACTGGTTTCAAGTTGTCTGAAGCTGCTAGAAAAACTTGAAGCTGGAGGATTTATGCAAATTTATCTGATTTTCCCCTCTCACTCATCCGCTCTTGTTCTCGCTCGCTCTCGCTTACTCTTCGGCTCTCTTGCGACTAGCTTTTACATAACTGGAACTCCTCGAAGGGCGAGTTCGAGAAATGTATGCAAATTTTAGCGGCTTAATCCTATTTGTTTTCTGTATCAGTAGCTCTTCTATCTCTCTCTCTCTTTGATTCCCTCTCTCTCGCTTCTATGATTTAAAACCTCATCCCCGCACCACATTTTCGAAAATCTCGTTCTTTTTTCCTTCTCTTTTTAATTCCGTTACATTCCTCTTTGCGTTTTATTCCATTCCATTCCATTACTGCTAATCTCGCCTTTTGTAAAGTGTCGCCATGTACGGCTACAACCAGCCCTCCACCATGCAGCATTACCCCCAGCACCACGTACCCCAACACCATCCCTATATGCCGTTGGAACACACGTAAGTGGCGCTGCGGCGCATTAATCGGCCTTAATTTTATCTATGGCTATATATACGTAAAGTAATATTATTTTTACCGTGTTCTCCTCAAGTTCTAAGCCATAGAACCTTTAATTCAAGCGATTTTTTGCGTTTCAAGCTTTTTTTCTCAATGTTCTTCTGCTTGTTGACACGTTTTTGACATTTTTATGGTTTTTTGAGCTCGGTAGGGGTATATTTTAAGTATCCAATCGTTGTTCTAATAAAATTATTACTGAAAACATTAAAAATTGGCTATTTTTGCACATTCCTAGTCGGTTTCCTAAATTTTCTCTGCTCGTTGGCCGTTTCTACCATTTTTTTGTATATTTTTGGGCTCGTTACAGGTATATTCAAGGTATTCTATCAATTTTCGGCTCGCAAAATGCGTGAAATTCATTGAAAACATTGAAATCGTCGATTTCGCATACTCCTCGTCGGTATCCCCAATTTTCTCTGCTCGCTGGCCTATTTCTAGCCTTATCTAGGAATTGTTAGGCTTTGCCAGGTATATTTAAGGTCCCGCTTTACTTTGCAAAGCGAAAAACTTCTTAGATACGCTATTTTGGGTTAATTCTACTCCGTAACCGTGCATATTCCCACGCGGCTTTTTATAGCTCTGGCGGTGACTCACCCCTCGATTTCCTGGATCTATCCCTTGGTCGACTGCCAAGTATGACTCATTTTCGGGCTCTCATATCGATTTGAATCTGCTGGACTTGTTATCCAGGTTTTGGCCCCGAAAAGTAAATTCTTGCAAAAGTACCGTATGCCTGGGCGTGGTTTTAGGAGGCTAGGGACGGCCAGCTGGGGCCCGCAGCTGACCGGGGGTTCTTGGAGTTTTTCGGGACATCTGAGGGATGGTACAAAATTTGGAGAAGCTGGGAAAAATTGTTTTTGTGCTTTTGCCACGGTAATGTACGCTTTCTAGATCTGTATCCGGGCCCTGTAAATCTTTTAATTTACATTTTTTGTGTTTTCTGGGCAATTTTGGAACATTTTGAGTTAAATAAGCGAACAAACATCTTGCAAATAGGAGTTTTACATTCTAACAGTATTTTATTGTTGTAGGTAGCGAGCCAGGATACCGTAGCATTTGAATTTTCATTTGTTTACGCCCGAAAGCGCTAGAAAAATTTTTTATTTTTCTTAAAAATTCCAGATTTTCTCTATTTCCCCCTGGGTTTCGGTTTTTTCAAGTGTACATTAGCGTAAGAAAGCGTAGTATAGCGTACGGTATCCTAGCTTTTTGTAGATTGATGCAAATTTAGACATAGAAAGGGCAACTCATAGATTTTTAGATTTTTGTAGCTTATTTTCGACCCTAAAAATCCGGATTTCTGCACGTCCTACCGAAGGCTTTTTTGTCCCCAAATTAGGTGTGATCTCGGGGCTTTTCACGCCCGTATTTCGCGAAACTTGTTGCGAAATTCGCTCCTCGGGGGTT